TTCATCTTCATCTTCATCTTCATCTTCATCTTCATCTTCATCTTCATCTTCATCTTCATCTTCATCTTCATCTTCATCTTCATCTTCATCTTGTATGTATGTATTATTCACAAGTAAATATTAATTTAAACATATGATCATAATCATTTAATTTAATATATCTTCAATGTTGATAGATAATATTCAATTTCTTGATTAGACATCAAAATATTCATCAATTAATAAAATTTGGCAAAACGATGGTGGTTTTCTGCACACACAATTACACGAAATTCGAGCGTCGCAAGCTTGCGCATGAAATTGAACCAGAGAATGTTAATTTAATCAGAAGGCGCAAATGTTAAGTAACATTTTTTCAAGTACTACCCTGCAGGGAAACCGCGGACTATTGAATCAAATTTCTAGTTCCGTACTAGGTCTTTATCGCCAAAAAGGAACTAGTCCGATAGGAACTAGATCCCCACCAGTCCAAAATCGGCGAAAATTGGTACTTTTAAGAAACTAATTTTTTCAGTTTTTTTCACTACAAATCTATATCTAAAGTGACGAATTTAGAATTGGTTCGGAACTATAGAAAAAGGGATGCCGAATTTAGAACTATTTCGGAACTATCGAATAAGGGATGCAGCGGGGGGCTTGTTTACTTTACATAGATATGTGTTCGGCGTCTTTTTCGTTCAAATACGCTTCTATTCTGTGCTTCGCAGATGCTATTTCATAGTTTGGTAATACAAAACAAAGCTTTGTGTTAACATATTAACATCTTGGGGCCGTCTGGAATCTAACCAATAACAGCGAGCACCTCTGCAAAGTAAGCTACAGCAAGGTATGTAAACGTACATTTCTTACAATCATTCAAACTAATTTAATTTCAAATTGAAAAAAACGTTTCTTTGAAAATAATGTAAAATCGCACACGACAGAACTGAAGGGTTGAAAAATCATGATACTTTTTTCTTTCGTCTGTCGATTTTAGAACTGGTTCGGAACTATAGAATTTAAGACTAGTTCGGAACTATCGAAAAAGGGATGCAGCGGGGGGCAATTGACACTTCCTAGGACATCGCCATGTTAAATTCGCCAGTTGCTTGCATGCAAAAGAGATTTATCGCGAACCAGTACTGGGTCTAAATGTACTAGAAGCGCCCCAGTTCAGAACTAGAGATTTTCCCCACAGGGTAATTAGAAGATCTGAGATGCGAGAGTTCACCACTGAGATCAAGGAGTTCGCCACACCAATTTTAACTACCATATTCTATAGTGAAGTGAGAGGTTTGTGGCAAATTTACATAAATTAGCTGCCGTTGGTGATATATATTAGCAAATTTACGCCGTCAGCTTATGAGTACTGTGGCGTTTGCTGCAAAAATGTAGCTTGTTTTTTTGCAATTTTTTTCGCTGATTCAAAAACCAGTGGATGGGGTGGTATTTTTGTATTAATTAAATTTTATTTTTATTGTTGTTTATTAATACATATATCGCTAGCTTAGAGTGAAAAGTTGCTAAGTCCTATTTTAGAAATGTTACAGGAGAGGAAACAAAAAAAATCTTATAGCCAATTTCTTCAAGCATTTCGCAAAACTTTTAATACAACATTTTGGCTGTTTAAAGGAAAGCAAAACTTCATATAGGGATTCGAACTTTATTCAAAGATTTCATGCTATGTATTTTGGGCTTATAGGATTTTCGGTGCTTCTTATGGACTTTTGGAAAATTTTCCTTTCATTGAATTTAAACGAGAATAAATAATACGAAATACCTCCATCCTTTTCGATACAATACATTTTTAATTTCTCTAGCCTCCTGTATCAAAATATGAGTTTTCATAAAAAGTGGACTTGAAAACTTTTCAATCTAAGCTAGCGAAATGGACATAAGTACGTATATAAGTATTTTTGCATATACAAATCCATCATTCATTTATAGCTACATATGAGTAGTCCACTTGCAAAGTGCGCTATGTAAATTTTTTCGATTTTTATCTTTTGGTAGGTAACGTACCAGTATTTAAAGTACTTTCATGTCCACTAAAAACCCAGTGCAAAATCTTTCTTTATTCTGAAAAAATAGCATCAAATATTAACTACTCTTACAAAAGTCGTTATCATATTTATTTATACACTGAAAACTGATTTGGGTTGCATGGATTGTTAATGTTATGTTATTTACGTTATGCTATGTTATAATGTTATTAAGCTATTATTTATTATTATTATTATTATTATTATT